ACTTATTATTTATTCAGTTTATTTATTTTAAATTATGGTAAATGTCAAAATAAATAAATAAAATAATACTTATAATTAAAACCTATTATTTAAAATATCACTTATCCTTTTTTATAAGCGTTAAATAATATAAATAAATTTTGGTTATTTTATTTATTTTTAAATATTAATAAATATAAACTTTTATAAAATTATTAATATTAGTTATAATTTAGAATCTCATTATTTAGTTATTGAATTATTTATAACTAGTACGGTACCCGTGTGATGCACGGGGGCATTTATTACCTATTTATTTTTTTGTATTTTTGTATTTAAATTGTCTCATGCCATTCAAAATTTCATGAAAATGAAATTTATATGTTATTAAACACTTCCTTATGTACAACATTATTGATTTGATTCTTTAGCACGTAAAGTACTACACAGATGTTCGAATTTATCCAAAATTGCATATTATTAGTTATTAGATAACAAATTTTTTAAAAAATTAAAGGATCTTATTTATTGAACAAAACTAAAGTACAAAAAAAAAAGTAGAAATTTATTGAACAAAACTAAAGTACAAAAAAAAAAGTAGAATTTTGAAGGATTTTCAACTATTATTTGTTTTAAATCTAATTCTAAATTTCAATTAAGAAAAATTGAAAAGAATCATTAGTTACTCCCGGAAATGAAACCGATTTTTTTATCAAATAAATTGATCCGTATTTTTTTTAAACCAAATAAAAAAAATCATCAATTTTTCTTAAAATGCAACCAAATTTTCCTAACATTGCACCGATTTTTGTACCAAACAAATTGAATTGAAAATAATTCTAATAAAAAATTGAAATAAGTTGTTAATGTTTATGCAACTGTCTCTTTCCTAAATAAAATGATATGAACTTAACAAAAAAATAATGATATGAACTTACCAAAATCTCGGTAAAACATGGTTAAGAAAAAACATAAGAATCCAAAAAAATCGATGCATTTAATTTTTGAAAAGTTGCACACAATTTGTCCTAAATAATTGGATAAGGTGACTTTAAATATCAATGATGAACAGCTTTTGTTACCCAACCCAAAGGTTATGGGTTCAATTCCTGCCATTGTTTTTAATTCAACACTAGTATTCGACATGTGCATTTGCACAGATATAAATAAATTATTGTGAGTCTGTATGCATATAATGATTAATTATTTTTCTTTCACTTTTTTGCAAACCAAATTTACAATTAAAAGAGTTGGAATATTTTTTTTTAAATTGCGTTAATCTGATTGGATGTAATGCATATTTTGGTACGTCTTTTATTTGTGAATTATTTATTATTTGTTTAGGAATTTCAAATATATTTTTTATTTTCAAAAAAATAAAATAAAATGTAACAACAATAATAACATTTAATCACATTATACGGTCTACACATTATATGGTCAACTGTCATTAATCAAAAGTTTAAAATGATTTTTGTAATTTTGAAGTGATGAGCATTAATTATTTAATGATTAAATGAAAGATTAAATACATCAAAATGTAACGATTTTTGGAGGGAAAATTGTTAAATTGCCACATAGGTAAAATTAAATAGGCTTTATTAAATGTTATTAGCTAGTAATTATATATATATAGATATTAGTTGTAAGGGTAAAATGGTAAAATCAATGATAAAGTAAGGGTATAATGGTAAAATTAACAAAAAAATAACGCCGTCAGTATTAAAGTAACGCTGTTAACATTAAATGGTGAGTGTGCATGAAAACATTAAATACGATGGGTTTTGACACAATTTTTAAAATATCAGAGGAAACTGCGCAGATTTCGTATAATACATAGAGGTTTGGTGCAATAAATTCAATTAATCTAATTTAGAGGGACTCAAACCTTAAACTTGCCTTCATAATTTACTCATCCGCCGCGTGTTTTCAAGTTACCTTACAAATTTCCATCTAATTTTGCATAATTTTAAATTTTCCATATAAACCATAACTTTGAACAATTTTCTTTGGTGAAATAAAAAAGTATACAAATTCGAAAGAACACCAAATTGGGTTCAAATGCAAAATTCCTTTCTTTTTTCTTTAATGAAATAAATAATTATAATTATATAAGTAAAGAAACACCAAATCGGATTCAAAGTTAAAATTCGTTTCCTTGGATGAAATAGATAATTATACACGTAAGGAAAAAAAAACACCAAATTGGATTAAAATATGTAAATTTCCGAAACCATACACATGAGCCCCAAACTCACCTCAAATGCACACCAAATTCACATTCCAAAGCCACAAAAATTGAGACCTCCGATTATATCCTCCTCCGCCACCCGCTGCCCGCCGGAACCGCCGCCCAATTTCCATCAATTTCTTCATTCCGCTGCCTTGAAACCTCGGATCTTACATAGTAACTCGAGAATATCATAAATATGAAATCCATAACATTCAAAAAAAAAAAACAAAAAAAAAATTCTCCCATGAATAATTCGATTTGCTCACTCATTTTTCCTCCAGGGAAATAAATGTACAATTGATTAGCAATAATCCACTCTTATGAATTGTTCATTTGTTTCCTGTGAAAAAAGGAGTATGAAAACATTGAAAAGGCGTTGTTGAAATGTGACGCCACCTATTTATTACCTCAGTCTGGTTGTCTTTTTTCTATTTTTTAAGGAATTTTTAGTTATTATAATTGGTCTGGGTGTCATTTTTTTTATTATTTTTTGACCGAATCAGTATTATATTATATTTATTATAATTGGGGCAGATGGGAATCGGAGGGTGACTATAATGAAAAGTGAAAAAACCTTCATTCTGCGCACCTTTCTTACGGGAATTTCCCTCAATACCCTTGTGAGATATTTTGCATTTTGGTCGTACATATATATTTTCTCATTTCATCTGTTTATCTTTATTTGATGTGGATTTTTGTGAGCTAAAAAAAAGCTTTTGAGCTGCAACTTTGGTTGTTCTTTTGTATTGAAAATCTAATAATGTTACGGTTTTTTTGTTTTTTTAACGACGAAGAGAATGTATTCAATTGATATTTTAAGTGACATTTTAAGACTTTCTAAAATTTGATACTTTTTAAAATTTTCAGATTTTGAGAAAAATTTGTGAAATTTTAAATCTGCTGGTAGAATTTGAAGTAAGATTTTATATAAGGTTTTTTCTTAAGAAATTCTACCAAATCTTAAATATTATTAACAAATCATAGTGTCAAATCTCAATTGAATATTCAATACTTTTAAAAGTTTTAAAGTTCTTAACAAATTTAAATTAAATATTTATCAATATAATTAAATAATATCAATCAATCATTCTTACACACAACATCAACCTTAATTCATATTCATCAACTCACATAATTTTAACTAACCATCACATCACATCTTCTCTCTCATACTTTTACATCAATTTAATTTTAATTATTTTATTTTAAATATTATTTTAATATACCCACTAACAACTAATTATACCAACTTTTTCAAATTTAACCAACCCAAAAAAAAATCCAATCAAAACAAAATCTTTTTATATCCAATCATGCTATAAAGTCTTAAAAAGTCCTTAGAAAACTCCAATTGAATACACCCTATAAATATTTAGGCTGCAATGATTTTTTTAATAATAAATAAAAAATATTTAAGTTAGTATGATGTAAAAGGAATTAAGTAATAAGCAATAAACAAAAACATATAAGTGAAGGAATAATAAATTGTGTAGTAATATTTTTTTTTTTAATTTTAAACATTATATTACTGTGTTTGTTTGTGTATTTTAGCTTTGGGCCGTTGGCCCCTATTTGCCCGAGTGTAACCTTATTATCCTGTTGGGATCGTACACTCGGACATTATCTCTTTGGAATCGTTTTTTATTGTTTTTAGCTGTGTTTCAATGGTTTTTTAGTGTAGTTGCGAGTTTGTTTTCCTAGCGTTGCTAGCAGGTTCTAGGCGATCTCCGGATCCGTCCTCCCAATCTTTTGGGTCTTGGTTGTACATTCAGTTATTATATCTCTATCGTTTTGGCAAAAAAAAAAATTAAATTATATTACTATAATTGATGTGATAAAAGAACACAAATGAAACGTAAAACTTTAAAATGTTATTGAAGCTTGATCCTTAAATCTGTTTAGTGGTTCAATAAGTGAGTCTTATAATATTGGGTCAATAATTTTTTTTTAATTAGGTGCTTGCATTTAATAAATTTAGTGTAGTCATAGACAAATTTTTCTACATTGAGTTATTTTTTAAATTAATAATAAACATTATGATATAATAATATTTCATTTATAATCATTAATACTAGAGATAGCAGAAGTGAATGATTTTTTTTAGTTACAAAAAATATATAATAATGACAATTACAGAGAAAAAAGTAACACAAAAGACGATAATAAATTTTGTGAGTTTTCTAAGTCAGAATTCTATGAAAATAAATTTTTGACTAATGAGATAATTTTTATTAAATTTTTATAGACATATTTTATGTTAGTAAAATAATTTTGAATGACCATACAAAAAGAAAATATATATTTTATCAAATGTCCATTTTTTTTTAGTAACACCAACAGGGATTCAACCAAATATCATTCTCTAGAAAGTATCCCCAACATTCCAACAAGGATAAAACTGTAATTTAACCCCAAAGCAAGTCTGCTTTTCGAAACGTTGTGCGAGATCTACCTGACAGTCACGTGCCCGGTGCGAGTTTTCTTCACACACACGTCCTTTTTAATCCACGACATCATTTCTCTGGGACCTACACACCCCCAACCCTAGCAACCCACCCCCAAAAATTGAAATCCCGATCGCACGGTTCGAAGACCACACACGTGTCCAGACAACCCAATCTCCACCGTCCATGACAGATGTTACGGTCAACTCCCCCCAGCCAGCAAACAAACCCATCTCCCCCGTCCGATCTTGGCCTCCTCACTAATTGACGGCCCACAATCTGCCCGAAAATTCTCCGGGCAGATCTCATCGCCTTTAAGAGGCAGCCATCTCCCCCTCTCGTTTCCTCGCTCAAACCCTAATTGCCCCTTTTTGCCCACCCACGATTAGGTGCAGTTCTTCGCTCCTTCACCCATCTTTTCAACAAAATATCTCAAATTGCCCCCACAAATTTAGCGGCGGCGGCCTTTGTACTCGATCGGCGGTTTCATCTCTTTCTCCTACCGTAGTCTCCGGCGATATATTTTAATACATGTTTTTTGGGGTAAAATGCTGCCGGAGTTTCGTCGGAGCTGAGATTCACCGGCGGTGTGATTCATGGCGTCCGCCGTGCTAGTGAGCCAGAAAGAGTCGAGCTGGGGCCCCATGGGGAAGAATCCGTACTCCAATCCCCATTTGAATGCAAACCCTAACCCTAACCCCAAGAAAAAGCAGAAGCAGTTCCACCACGCCGCCGCCGCCGCGAACGGCGTCGCTGGCGGGCGGTTTTACGGCAACGTCAACAGTTACCACAACTTTGAATCCCCAGCAGTGACGCAGACGGCGTCCGATGACGCCTATTCCTTCAATCAGACGACCACCAGCCGCAACGTAGCCAATTACGGGGGCTACGTGTCCTTTAATGTAGCCTCGTACACGAAGTCGGAGCTCCTTGAGCTTCGGAAGCGGCTGTCGGCGGAGCTCAATCAGATCCGCGATTTGCGAGATCGAATTCAGTCTGGTCAACTCAGCACGACAGAGAACCCTAGATCCCAGGTGAAATCGAAGAAATCCGCCGGAAACAAGAGACCTGGCGCTGTTGTTGCATCCACTCCCAAAAATTTGCCCAATGCATACGGCAATGGTGGTGTAGACCCTGTCAATTGGGAGATGATGCTGAAGGAATGCGGCAAGATCGTGGCAAAATTAATAAAGCACAAGTTTGGCTACATATTCAAGGTACCCGTTGATGCTGTGGCCATGGGGCTTCATGATTATCATCTGATTGTGAAGCGACCCATGGATCTTGGCACGGTGAAGACAAATCTCGCCAGGAATCTCTACAGGACTCCTATGGAGTTTGCAGCTGACATGCGGTTGACTTTCAACAATGCATTGCTGTACAACCCCAAGAGTGATCCTGTTAATGGGATGGCAGAGCAGTTGCTGGCCAAATTCGAGGATTTGTATAAGCCGATACAGGAGAAGATTGATAGTTCTTTAGAGCAGCAAAGGGAGTTGGAGGCTTGCGATTTTCGGGCAGTTGATGAGCTCCATTACAGGGGTTTTGATGAGTTGCAGGGGAGCTCATGGAATAACCATGGCAACCAGGTTTTAACCTCCCCAGTCAGAGGGAAGAAAGGTAAGCCTAAAAGCAGTCCAGTTCCCATTTCCGAGGTGTTGAAGAAGCCAGACAGATTGCAAGCTCATTCTAGTGCTTCAACAGCTTCAAATCCCCCTCCTTCAATGATCCAGCAGCCTCCCTTGATGCATGAGATGTCTCATTCTCCAGTGAGAGCTCCCGCTTTGCCGCCTGTTAGAGAGCTGAAAGTCGGGAGGGGTGCTGCACCGAAGCTGCCAAAGCCAAAAGCTAAGGATATTGATAAACGAGACATGAGTATGGATGAGAAGCAGAAGCTGGGTATGGGTTTGCAGAGCTTGCCTCAAGAGAAAATGCCTCAGTTGGTGCAAATCATAAGGAAGAGGAATAGACACTTGGCCCAGGATGGAGATGAAATTGAGCTTGACATTGAGGCTCTCGACAAGGAAACCCTGTGGGAGCTCGACCGTTTTGTCACCAACTGGAAGAAGATGGTGAGCAAGACTAAGCGGCAGGCATTGATGAACACTCAAGCAATTGAGCCTCTTCCTCCTGTCAGTCCTGTTGGCGAAGCCGATATGGTAAATTTGCTTTCTTAGCTACTATTTATACTTATTGCTCGTCTATGCTGTTGATAATTCAGTGGAATAAATGCGGCTCACCGCATGTAAACTATGGCTTGTAGGGTGCAATGAGTGACAAAAACGATGATGAAATGATGAAGAAATTGAAGGATAACGATGATGAGGATGTGGACATTGATGATGATATGCCTGCTGCAAGTTTCCCGCCAGTGGAGATTGAAAGAGATGAAGGGGCAGGTGCTGTAGCTGTCCAGGACCAGATCCATGATAATGTAGATGCTCATCATGACCATGATCATGTAGGAGCCCAGGTTCAGGAACATGAAGCTGTCCATGATAATAATGAACGAGGCAATGCAAGCAGTAGCTCAAGCAGTTCAGGAAGTTCGAGCAGTGATTCGTCTTCCTCTAGCGGTACTGACATTGATTCTGATTCTGATTCTGATTATGATTGTTCATCTTGCATTTCTTCTTTGTGTTGAGGATAACAAGTATAAAGTGGTAAAAGTGCTCAGTGGTTTGAGCTTGCTTTTGTCTCTTTACAGATTCTGATTCAGGGAGCTCCTCTGGGAGTGATTCAGATGCTGATGATGCGCAGTCGTGATGTCTATGGTCTCTCTATATGAGGTTTGAGGAGATGGGACTTGGGTCGGGGTGTTTGTTGTATGGATAAGTAAAGCAAGTTTGTTGTTGAGGTATACAAACATTAGAAGATTGTATTTCGCTCTTCTTGATTTCTTCTTTGTTTGCTAGGTTTACCAGTACAATGCTGAAAATCTTGAAATCCCCTTTTGCAGAGTGGCAAAGCTGAAAAACAAAGCTGCCCTTTTGGGTTGGTGGTGGTTTGTGTGAAGCTTGATGGGATTTATATGTATTCCTAGCCTGTTGTTTGCTGAGTTGGTAAGGGAGGGACTAGTGTAGAATAGGAGTGGGTACAAAGAAAAAGATTCAGTAGAATGTAGATATAGAGCTGAATGGGGATATATGTCTGTACAGTTTCACCAAAGAATTAGTGGCAAAGATTTCTAATCTTTTGATTATTTGCAATTTATGTGTTTCATCTTTCCAGCTCTTTTTCATCTTGAATTGTATTTTTGGCCGTATTCGAGAGGGGTATGATATGGTGGGGTGTGTTGAGTATGTGCTTGAAAATTGTTTTGTGCAAACAGAATTGATTGGTGAGTTGTGATTTGTCAATGTGGCATTATGTGAATGCTATGTAAATGAATGTACTTGATAAAAAGATTAAAGAACAATCCATGTAATGTTGGGACCGGGAAGTGGTGTTTGGCTTGGGAACAAATTTGAAATACCAAGTTCATTACATTATGAGATTAAAACATCATGAAATTGTAAGGAACAAAAACTTTTGTTAAGCGTTATGTTCAACTGTTCAGTTTGTACTTTGTAGTAACAAATGTGCTATTAGTTAAAAGAAAATACTACAACTTGAAATACAGTTTGTAGTAACAAATGAGTTATTAATTTAAAACACTCGAGCTCTGGTTAAAAGACAATACTACCATCTTGAAACACATCTAGATCTAATGCCAGATCACAGAAATTATGACTCTAATTTTTTTCAGTCTTTCTTGAGTGAAATAAATACATCAAGTTGGGATTCACCTTGCTACAGGATTTGTACACATAGACTCAACTGCTTCTCAGGCATGTCTGTCGATAAATGCTTTGACCAAGTGACACACAGCTTTGGGATATGACTTTTCCAACATTTTCTTTGTAGAATTCATTGCAGTCTCAACATCATTAGTAGCCAAACAAAAAAGCAGTTTTAATGTCTCAGCCACTAAATCGAGGGCCTCGACTTGCCGAAATCGCAACTTCGCACAGATACATTTCTCCAAGAGGAAACCAAACAGGTAGCAGCCAATCCACAGCCGTCGTCTGAATATTTCTTTCAGAAAATTCACATTTCATTGAAGATTTTTTGTTGTCAAAGTAGGCAACCAAAGCCGTCGTCTGGAATATGCTGCAAACCTTTTGCAGCAAAAGCTCTGCAAATTTTCTGGAGTTGATTAACTTTAGGGCAGTACAACAAGAAAATGTTGCGCAATTTTATAAAGCCAAGAGTCTTGTGTCGAGAGTACATCTGTTACACATTGGACAACCTTGTTAGGACAATACACAAGGCAACAATGGCACAAGTCCTACATATATAAAATCCAAATGAAGTAACGAGCATATGCAATTCGAAGCACCTACATATTAAAATAACTAACCTGACGTGTTATACAGAGACAAATGGTACGTATTGCAACACTACACTGCCAGAAAATAAAGAAGGTTATCACTTTTTAAGTACAACAACACATGCACATAATTAGAGTGCAGATTTTCCAGAAGATGAGCAGACAGAACTTAGTCAATACAAAAGGAAAGAGAGTAATGCTACATGTAGATAATAATCTGTACATACAATCCATTGGGGTTGGGTCCATTTAAATAAAGTATTCAAGTATGTACGCTATCCATGTGAGAGTGTGTACACTTCTATGAACAAATTGTAGTGTACAAGTAGAATTATCCGAGAAGAAATGTTTCGCTGTCCTAATATAGTACTTAAGACATATACTTCATATGGCAGTTCAATTGTTATTTATTCCAACAAAATAACAAGGGTGCAATTGGATATTAACCCAAAAAAAATCATCCACTAAACAAAAAAAATCATCCACTATAAATATGGAAAGTATTGAAATGGATGAAAAGGGAAATTCTTGTTAATTTCTTCATTTGATGTCTCTACACTATGTAGCAGTGATGGTGTCTTTACAAGGTGTCAAATTTTCTCATTTCACTATTTAAAATGAACAACTCCACTATATACTATTTATAAATGCACAGTTTCACAACTTTTACTAGTGTTTTATTTCTTTGTTTTAGTTCATTCCACAATTTCACATGTACTAGGTCTTCTTTTTATCACTTAGTTTTAGTGTTTTTTATATCCCTTCTTAGTTTCTGCTGTTGCTTGCGCTTCGTTTTGTTCTGTTTCAGTATGGTCTCCATTTTTAATCTTCCCCTGTTAGTGCTTTCGTTGGAAAAATCTGTAATTTGGAAATTTGTAATTGTAGTTTGTTTTATATGGATAATAATTTCATCATAGCCATGTGTCAATCTAAACTGAAAAACTTTTACCTCCCCACCAAAATACACAACAAATCACAGAAACAAATATTACCCTTCAATGTTCCAACCAGCAGCAACCCCCAAATTTATTAAAACACTAGCAGCTTTTAATTTATTAATTTATTAAAAAAAAAAACTCAAATAAGGCAAAATACTTGCTAGTTGCTACTAGGGATGTAAATGGGTCGGGTCGGGTACGGGTTTTGGCAAACCCAGACCCGACCCGTGTATAAATTACCCTACCCAAACCCGACCCGTTACCCGGTTAGTGATCTTCGGGTTCGGGTTGGGTTTTACCCGTCGGGTTAGCGGGTTTTCTTCGGGTAAACGGGTAACCCGAGTTCATAAAATAATAAAAATATAATAAAATTTAACCATTAATCAAAATTATAATAAATAATATAATTTTTAATATTAATAACACATGAATACTTTTATATTTATAATAAGTTACAAATATACACTTATATATATTTATATGTAAAATTAAATGTGCGGGTAAACGGGTAGGGTAATCGGATCGGGTAACGGGTTTTTCTACTATACCCGCACCCGACCCGACCCGGGGTTCGGGTAGCATAATTCTACCCGAACCCGACCCGAAGCCCGACCATCACGGGTTTACCCGACCCGAAAATGCGGGTAACCCGCGGGTAACCCGACCCTACGGGTTTTATTGACATCTCTAGTTGCTACTCAAAACCACCAGGTGGGAAGAACACAAGTCAGTCACCAACAAATCCTGAATTTCCATTACATCCCAAAAGCCAAAAGAACATATAAATAATAATACACTACCCCAAAAAACATAAAAAGGCAAAGAATAAAAATCTCACAATTTCCATAAATGACCATAATAAAACCCCCTCACTTCTTCACCTCCTCATACTCCGCCTCCGGCGCCGCCCCCTCATGCCCACCACCCGAACCCTTGGCCAAATGCTCCCCAATCTTCTGCACCGCCTTCTCCGCCAGCTCAAGCTTCGCCTGAATATCATCCGCATTCTCTGTCCCAAGCGCCCCCCTCAAATCCGAGACAGCATTCTCAATTTCAGACACAACCTCAGCCGGAATCTTATCCCTGTACTCGTTCAAGCTCTTCTCAATCTCATACACGCGCGTGTCAGCCCTATTTCTCAAATCAATGAGTGCCTTCCTTTCCTGATCCTTGTGCGCGTGCAGCTCAGCCTCTCTCACCATTTGCTGAATATCTTCTTCCGAGAGGCCGCCAGACGAACGGATGGTGATTTGTTGCTCCTTGCCGGTGCTTTTGTCTTTAGCCGAGACGGTCACGATGCCGTTGGCGTCGATGTCGAATGTGACCTCGATTTGTGGGTAGCCACGTGGGGAAGGGGGGATGCCTTGGAGCTCGAATTCGCCCAGGAGCTTGTTGTCCGAGGCCATTTCACGTTCGCCTTGGAGGACTTTGATGCCTACTTGGGTTTGGTTGTCGGCTGCCGTGGAGAATGTCTGCGAAAATTGAAAAGTTGATCATGAGTGAATCAAGTAAAAATTAAGTGAAATTGAGTACTTGGGTGTGTTTGTTTATAAATTATCTCAATTCATACTCAATCCATACTCAAAATATAATTCTACTTTTAACACAACCCCACTATCCTAATTCAACTTAATTAATATTAATTCATTCACATAATTTTAACTTGACATTACCTCTCTCCTACTTTTTTATCAAATCAACTTTAATTATTTTATTTTAGATATCACTTTAATACAAATTCAAAATTCCACTAACAACTAATCATATTAACTTTTTCAAAATTAACCCTATTTAACCAAAAAAGCTCGTTTTGAGCGACCACGCCCCAAGGACCTTGACTTGGCGGCAGCTATGCTTTTGACAAAATTGCCAAGCAGACCACAATCATGTTTTAAAAGATATCAAATCAAGAGCAGAAGCAAATATCTTAAGTACTTGTAATTATGCAAGACAATTGGACTTTCTATATTTATTTTATATTTTTCTTTTCCTTTGGTTTCTCTATTCATCAAATAACAATCATAACAACAGGAAAAGCTGAAGAAGAAACATAGATGGCTCTCACCTGACTTTTCTTTGTGGGGATAGTTGTATTCCTGTTGATCAACCTCGTGAAAATGCCACCAAGCGTCTCAATACCAAGGGAAAGTGGGGTCACATCAAGAAGAAGCAACTCTTTCACATCTCCTCGAAGAATGCCACCCTGGATTGCAGCACCCATGGCCACAGCCTCGTCAGGGTTCACCCCTTTGCTGGGAGACTTGCCAAAGATTTGGTTAACCACTTCTTGAACCTTAGGGACACGTGTCATGCCACCAACGAGCAGAACCTCATCAATCTCAGTAGTTTTTGTGCTGGCATCCTTCAAGCAGCTCAGGCAAGGGGCCCTCGTCCTCTCGATCAGGTGGCCCACGAGAGCCTCGAACTTTGACCTGGTCAAAGTTATGTTGAGATGCTTTGCACCTGAGGCATCGGCTGTGATGAAGGGCAGGTTGATCTCAGTCTGTGATGTGGACGAGAGCTCGATCTTGGATTTCTCAGCCGCCTCACGGAGTCTCTGGAGGGCAAGCTTGTCTTTTGACAAGTCGATACCTTCAGTCTTTTTGAATTCACTCACAAGAAAATCCAAAAGAGCGTTATCAAAATCTTCGCCTCCCAAGAACGTGTCGCCATTCGTGGCTTTCACCTGTGCATAGTAAGTAAACATGTCATCATCACATTTTACAGCAATTATTAAGCAAGAAATAAAATAACTGGAAAATGCATGAATATTGTTTCATTACCTCAAAAACTCCACCGGATATCTCAAGGATCGAAATATCAAAAGTCCCACCACCAAGATCAAAAACAGCAACAAGTCCTTCTTTGTTGTTTAACCCGTAAGAAAGCGCAGCTGCTGTAGGTTCATTAATAATTCTTTGCACGTCGAGACCAGCAATTCTGCCGGCATCTTTAGTAGCTTGCCTTTGAGCATCATTAAAATAAGCAGGAACAGTAATCACAGCCTTGTTTACAGTCTTGCCGAGATAAGCCTCAGCAGTTTCTTTCATTTTAGAAAGAACAAATGCACCAATCTGGCTCGGTGAGTACTGTTGGCCATTAGCTTCAACCCATGCATCTCCATTACTGGCACGAACAATCTTGTAAGGTACCATCTTCATTTCTTTCTGGGTCTGAGGGTCATCAAATCGCCTACCGATTAGACGTTTTGTTCCAAAGACTGTGTTGGTTGGATTGGTGACAGCTTGTCGTTTTGCAGGCGTTCCCACCAAAAGCTCGCCTTTCTGGCTAAAAGCAACTACTGATGGAGTAGTTCGAGCACCTTCAGAGTTCTCAATAACTTTCGGGTTCTGAAAGAAATGAGTTTGTTTGTCAATTATCAGCCTTATGGGTATAATCATCAACAAATGGCAAGTGATAAGGTTAAATGCTGCTGAGTGAATAAAGGTCTCACCTTTCCCTCCATGACAGAAACACAAGAGTTAGTCGTCCCCAAATCAATACCAATTACATCATCTGCAACAGGTTTTGTGCTGCATCAATAAGAAAAAAAAGAACACTTAGAATTTAGATGGGAAGGTTCTACGAAAAGTTTGATACAGATATATACCTGAATGGCCTTAAAAGACCTGCAAACTTGTTGCTCGAAGCCCATGATGGCTTGGTGTTTCCAGTTAACTGAAGAAGAAGTACAAAATAAAAACTTTATACCAAATAGGTATCTTGAAGTACTAAAAGACATTAACCAACAAGAGAACAATGCGGGTACAAAGACATGATATCAACAAAATTTTGAAATTTGTTTAAGTAGATTGCAACCTATGCCCAAAGGATGGACATTATAAGTGTTCCAAGATAAATGGAAAGAAGAAAAAAAAATAAAAAAAGAAACAAGACACTATAATAAGATGGAAATTTAATCAATCTGCTCAGCAACTCTAGGATTCTACAATTTTCCGCACACGAACACAGTAGATGAAAAACAATCTTGACAAAAATCGACCCAAAAATACATAAAAATCAAGACAAGGTCCCGAATCAGCCAAATTTAATATAACAGGGCAAACATACTTACACCTAAAATACGCATCTTTCAACGGAACAAATGATCAGACAATAATTAAAGGCACACTTATTCTGCCTTTTCTACTAAGATTTATTATTTCTCCACAACACAGCTTGAGCGACAAATAGAAATCAGAGAGCTTTCACATATCGGCAACAAATTTCCAGATAATATTCAACTCCTAACGTTTAATAACCATCTGAACCTTTTCATAAAGAATCTAAGCAAGTAAAACACATTAGCTCACACTCACGGACGCGTAAACAGAAAAAAAGAGGGGGGTGTGAAAGACCAATCAAAAAGGAAACTCAATCAGAAGATACGTACAATTCTGTAAGCCGAAATAGGGGCGGAGGAAATTTCACGGTGACGGAAGGATCTGAGAACGGCGGCGGCTGCCATTGATAGATAGAGGTTTAGAGAAAGCTGTGTGCTTTTTCTGTGGTAGGGTTTAGGGTTTATGGGGAGAAGAGTGAGGAAGAAAGAACGGAGCAGTTCGGAATTATGTAAATGATTTTACTAGCAATTTAATATAAAGTGGAAAACTAATAAATAGTAGTATTGTCAGAAGGTTCTAGACATAGGTGGATTGTTCCTCAAGAATACGGAAAATAATATCCTGAATTATGTACCCCTTTTGTCCTTTATATTTATTATTATTATATTATTATTATTTTCCTGAATTATGTGCCCCTTTTGTCCTTTATATTTATTATTATTATTATTATTATACCCAATTTCCTAAATACTAATAATAAGCCATTGAAATTATATTTTAACTAATATAACGGACATGTTGTAATTAAAATCAATATTAAAAATTAATATTTAATTATTTATTATATATTAAAAATTGAATTTTTCCAATTTTATATTAAAACTCTAAAAATTTCTATTTTTTATTTTTAATTGTACATTTAATTTTTGTCCAGCACTTGTGTAATACATAGGTGTTATATTAGTATTTTTAACTCGCAAATTGCAAATTTTTCATATTAATCTTTTTTTCAAACTTCACAATACACATAATTTTGCTAATTAAGATGGATGCTATAATGAATATACATCATAACATTTCATAAGGGAATTAATTATTTTTCATAAAAAAAAATTGTGATTCATTTGGATTATTTGGCGTAGCACATGGATGAAGACAATTACATGCTTTAAAATAAACGGTTTTGCTATAGAGCCATACGATGGCTCGGCTTATGGAGTCATTCATAGTTATTCATAAATGGTGTATTGATACGTGTCCTGCATTAAATATATATATTGAACATGTGTCAGTATATAAAGTTATGGATGGCTTCATAAGAGCATCTACAATGCATTGAGTCTAGTCTTGTCTATGTGGCATGTAGATAAACTCAAGTCTTAGATGACATGTATAAAACTATGTAAAATTAATAAAATCCACTCCAATGCAAAAAGACTAAGTCCCTACTTGGGTCTAAAATAGACTTAAGGGGAGGTCGGGTCTCTTTTTTCTAGCTGCACATCAATAGGACCAGTCAACTTTTATTTGCATTGGAGAATATATTTTTTTAGACTGAGCCTATTTCTTAGGTGACATAATTTTTTGGGATTGAACCCAAAGCATTGTAGATGCTCTTGGGAGCCATCTGATGACTCCATAGAATTTCTGTTAAAACCATTTACAAGATTTTCTCTATAAAGAAAATTATTTTTCATGCAACTATTATATGAATCTCTATATAATATATTACATATTAATAAAATAAAATTTAAAAAATAAGACAAGGGGAAATTCATGAATTTATTTTGGAAGTAAATAAAACTTGAAGTAAGACAGTGAGAGAGTGAGAGCATCTCCAGTGCTCCAACGTCAAAGTTAAAATTTTCTGCCACATGGCGGTAAACAATTAGACTGTTATTTGATATGAAAACACTTTCCACGAATTGAATAATAACGGCTGATTTCCATCTCCAATGCATACTTTCATTCTTACACATATTTATTTTAAAGTACACAAAATAAAATAATAAAGTAGCTTTTAGAAGACTAATAAGCAAAATAAAATGATAAATTAGTTTTTAAAAGACTAAATAAATTCATTAGATAAAACATATCAACAAAACATATGTAACACTTAATTCTTTTTAAAGAAATATTTCAAGCATAAAACATATCAACACACCAACCAAAGATCATTTGAAAAAAAAAATAATAAAATTTTAATTACGAGATACTACAATTAATTATTTCAAATTAAAAAAATTGTTTTTATCTCCACGAAATAAAATAAACAATAAAGTAGTTTGGTTTTTTAAATTGTTGAAGGTGTAATTACTAAAGACACGGTTTGGAGTAGAAAAACGCATTTCTCGGGGACAAGATCTAGGGTTAATGCCAATCAATCGGAAATTAAAATTTTCATTGCAAAGATTAATTAATTTTAATTACAAAGATTAACTATTTCGAATTTAAAAAGATGATTTTCATCTAAAAAAATAAAATAGATGATATTGGCATTTTTTTCTCATTTTTTAGTCGTTTCGCCTGATGAGATGTCCTGTTGAACAACAGACAGTAGGGTTGATAATGTTACAAAATAACGCATTGGAGAAAATAATATAAAGATTGGTGTCTACATGTATCTAATTTTGAAAAAATGATGCATAGTCAACCTAGTGTACAACTAGGTTAACAACACAAGTGGGAAACATTCACTTGTGCATTTTTTTATTTTTATTTTTATAAATATTTTTACTTGTGTTGTCAACCTAATTATACACTAGGTTGTCAATATACCATTTCTCTCTAATTTTTTTCCAGTCAACAGTTCCTATTGAAGATGCTAGATTATGAAAAGGCGACTTTATGACATTTAAGAAAAGTAAGCATTATGCGTGGACAGCCAAACACCGCACAAACACCTCTCAGGTGCCCTCTTTATGGTTCGCTATGTGGTGAGTCTGATGACCACCATTGTTTTTCCGAAGTGATATAGTTCTGTACAACAAAAAATTTAATAACCATTAATAATTAATCTAAGTTTTTAGTAACCATTAATAATTAATCTTAATTCTTTTATATTATTGAATGCTAACTTAATTAATCCTTATAGTATAACTAAGAATTGACATTGTCCGGACTCCGTGCATATGCTAGTAAACGAGTACTACTTGAGTAGGAAAAAAAGATCCTTTAGCCGTATCTGGAACCATTATAATATAACCTTAACTTACTTTCAAATGTTCCTAAACATCACCTATATAGATTTGTCAAGAGCGTAACAGAGCGTTTTAACTCTTATTATAGTCTAGCTCACTCATAACCTATGCTCAATACCTGCGGCAAAAATAAAAATAAAAGAACCAAGTCATTCAGTTCCAATGAAGTTCAAATTTTTGGAACAGACATAATGTTACAGAGGCCACATTATAATAAAAAATATAATATATATATATATGTATATACACAAGTAACTCGAGCTACCGAGAATTAGCAAGTTCGAACTTCGAACCAAAGATTAACACAAAAATCATATCATTACATAAAAAAAAATAGGTGTGCATGCTTCATCGTTGCAGCCTAAAGTCGAAGATATCCTCCCCTTTCGGTTCTTCTAAAGAAGGATCTTCGGTTGAGAGACCAACTTTTTCTCAATACCCTCCTTTTTTTCCAGGCTGTTACACCTTTATAAAGTGCCGGAAAAAGGAAGCACAATAGAATGATTATCAGCATTGCCAAACAGAGAATCATTACATTACGAAACCCGTCTTTCAGTTCAGGGTCCCTTTGTCCTGTCCATGGAACTCCACCGACATTCATCCCAAACACTATAGACAAATTCGATTCACATCAGTTTTTACTAAAAAAATAAAAAAATGGGAAATGAATATGATGACTTGTGGTGTGGCTCAGCTCATATCAAACGTATTCGTTTGAAGTATTTGGATAGGATTAAAATGGATACTTTACGATGTTAGTAACGGCAACTTTGGTAAATTAAGAGCTTGTTAGTATAAATTTTTTATGTTAAAACGACTAATAATCTTAGAAGCAAGCAGAAGAGCCCAATGCAAAAGATCTAACCTCCGGTAATTATGGATAAGGGCAGAAATATGATGGAGAGGAATGAAAGATAGTATAATTTTCGATTAATCTGCTCGGCCTGCCAGCTGTCCAGGCCTGCCTGAATTGCCGTCACACGATTAGCTATAAATCCGACATTCTCCTTTAGTCTCCTTATCCGTCCAATCAATTCCTCTAAGGCATTAATGTCTTCACTCGCAAACCATTCTTTTGACGAACACTTTTCCTTAACTCGGGGGAATACTTGTTCGCCATGTGCAATCACCTGGGTAAAAGCATATATTGGATCATTATGAAAGCAATAACTAACTATCTCTATCTTTCGGTCATAACTATTTTGCTTCATTTTCCAGAAAATTTGAAAGAAGCTTATCCAAGTTAGTTGGTGTGGTACCTGCAAAAGACGTTGCAAGTCGAGATGCATTTTTGGAAATTTCCTGTCATCTAATAATTGTTTTTTCAAAGCAAAGCCACCTGCAAACACAGCAGCAGATGAGGAATTTCCACTTGCAATGATGGAATAAATAAAATGAGTAAACTACGAAACGAGTTGGATACAGTGACGTTTGATTTCATATCTGTGTTCACTTACAATTGTGATTTTTAATTTAATCTCATTGGTAAAGTATCATTTTCAAGTGCCCCGATCAGACTGGTCACATGAAGTCCTCAAAACTGAAAAAGCTAATAGCACCATATAAGAAGATATTTACAACTTTTAAGTATTTGTTATGGTTATTAGCTTCCTAAAATCGTAACTTTCCTTGAAAATCATCATCTATTCTAACATTTAATTTTCATCCAACCTAACCATCATTTTCAACACACAGTTAAACAAATGCTTTAGTTTCCATCTCTCTATTTCATATCATTAGAGCTTTCGCTGCAAATGCTAGAATCTTCATGGTACATGCATTTTGATGCTCATATCAAAAATAATTTTTCTGAAGGTGAATTTTAGTCCATTACATTCAACTGATGTACTACGAATTTTATTCATTATGCAGAGTTCAAGTATCCAGGATTACATATTTAAAGCATGGTTACATACACATCCCTCCAATTCTTGAAATGAAATAAAATAGTATAAAGAGAACTGCAAATTTTCAGTGAACGGGAACAAATTCCATAAAAACTGAGGTTTAAATTGTGTTAGTAGATAATATCTTAGCCTTCAGTATCACTAGTGAACTAAACTCATGTCTCCGATATTTCATTTACTTCTCATTTCTCTTTTCCCTTTCAACAAATGACCTTCTTATTTAGCACCCTATTCATTAGATTAGAGGTATTACACGTACGAAAAGGAACAACCACTAGAAAAGGCAATTGAAAACATACCTAAAATGTCAAAAGTCCTCACCTAGTAACAGATGCTCTAACCAATTTTCACAACAAACCAACTGACATGAAGTATTTCTTCAAATTTCCAAAGTAAATCACTAAACAGATGCAAAAAAGGGAGCAAAAAGCTCTCTTCCATGTCAAGGTCACAGCTTTCCAGTAATATCTTTACAAGAGAAAATCATAATAACAAGATCCAACAACCAACGTGATATATCAATCCAGACAAAAAACAACAACTTCATACAGCAGATGAATTAGGAAAACTATACCAAGTTATGTTCACATAATCACAACACCAAGACTTAGAAAGTTTTGCATCTTCTTTTTTTCTCCCAAAGCACCAGATTATACATTCCACTAAAAAAAAAAAGGAAAAAAAAAAAAAACATACCTCTATCCAACTCAAACTCGACAGCATCCAGCTCAATCTCGAGCTTCGTCACGAGGTCCTGAAGGTGATCCACATGTGTATCCACAACATGAACAACGAGATTCGAGACCTTCCTAGGCACCGGATTATCTGCCTCTTCCGAATGATTCATCGTCAGGAGAAAATCCAATACATGTTCTCGAATCACAATACCACCCGGACCCTCATTTTCACCACCCCCACGGCTAGAACCCTCAACAACCGGAATCTCAGACAGCAAAGACTCGTTCGCAGGCGAAAAGCCCAATCTTGGAACCCGGCCCAACGAAACAGTAATGACCGAGCCCTCGGTAATTCTTGCAGCAATCCTAAAAGTAAACTTGCTTGAGGCGGGCCCAGGTGAATTTACCCTGAAAACGAGGGCCCCATCAACGTGCCCGCAAAACGGCCCATTGCTAACAAGCGAGAGTATGTCTTGGAGCTTGAGGGGAGGGCAAAGGACATCGATAAGGTACTGTGCGAGTTGGGCTAGCTTTTGATTGCCTTTCGGGAGTTCGACATGGTACCAACAGAACTCATTGCCTGTGCCTTGTGCAAGATCCCATTCCTTATTGTAGTAATTGCCATCACCGTCGAAAATGTAAGCTTTTTTTCTAACTGAAGATGGATAATGTAAGTGGTGAAAGCCGTTCTCCTCGAGATTTCTCTGCACGGGCAACTCCTTATCTACATCCTCGGACTCGGGATCTAAATGGTTAAGCTCCATTGGTTTGGGAGTAATTTATTGTATCTTTGATGAATAAGCCAAAAGAAACACTGTCCAATGGTGTGCACATAAGGTGTTCGACCAAATGACCAAACAGCGATTTTTCTGTAAACATCATAAGTCAACTTCAATCAGAAAACGGGCAATGAATTTGAGGTCCGACTACACACTGGACATCTACGAAAAAAAGTGAGATCAAAGCAGTTCATCGTATTTTCCTAAAATTTATAAGAAACACAAGATGATCTTTTTTTTATTTTATTTTTTCCTAAAAAGAAAGGAAAAAAATTAAATCATGGTGGACTTTACCTTGTTTAGCGCCGGCAACATGTCTTTAATGAAAAAAAGAAAGAAAAATCATCTTCGCCTATGGCGAGTAAGCCAATTAACTGCAAGAGAAAATACAAATAGTTTCTTTCTTATTTGTAGGCAAAATAATTTAAACAAACGCCGAAAATCAGTAGTGGTGAAGACACAAACTTTGAATGAAGACATTAATATAATCAAATGACATTATGATTTTCATAAGTTTTATCATAGTCCAAAAAGAAACTCATGATTCATGAAGACAATTTTGAAGTGATTCTCATAATCTCATTTACTACTTCAAGTCTACCTTTTTTTTTTCAAACGACTACTTTAAGTCTACAATATCTGAAATGTTATTAAGGCTATGTTTGGTTCGAGGGGAGGGGAGGGGAGGGGAGGGATTTTAATGAAAGAAAGCCGAGGGGAGGGGAGGTGATGTAAAATAATTTTACCTTGTTTGGAGGGATTTTGTAGGAGGGGAGTGGAGAGAAAATGGTAAACCTTGTTTGGTTAAAATAATGGAGGGGAAGGAAAATATTGTAGAAATGACAATTATATCCTTAATGATGTAAGAAACAAAATAATAAAATCATTTATACATAAAGGATAATATAGTAATTTTATGTGTTAAAAATTTTCCCTCCCCTCCAAATTCCCCCACTTTTGGAGGGGAGGAGATTTTTCCTTGGAAGAGGGATTTGAAGGGAAAATACAATCCTTCCTCCTACAAAAAATTGAACCAAACAAGGGAAAATTATAAAATTCCCTCCCCTTCCCTCGCCTCCCCTCAGATTCCCTCGAACCAAACATAGTGTAAATGGTTGAGTGTAAATATTATTGTAATTATTTAGTGTCATAATTGTAAGTAGCAGACTAACCACTACAATTAAAAACCCAATAACATGTAAGATGCATTAATAAATGTATTGTAGATAAGGAAAAAACGCGTAGAAATCTGGCATCTCTGGTCAGGCTTTATCTGCTCTCTCTCCCCTATAAATATGCTCATTTTGCTGAGAAGAGAGACACGAAGAAAAACACATAGAAAGAAGAGAAAAGGGAGAGAAAAGAAAGAATAGAGATATATAAATTATTTTGGAGGGATAAAATTATTCAAGAAAAAATATAAAAATATTTATTTGTTATCAAAATAGCAAAAGAGAGATATTTTTATTTTTATTTTTTAGTTCTCAATTCTTGACTCCGTTCCAGTTCACCGGAGCTCGTAAATCTGGTGTGCAACAGATTTAGAGACGTTTGTCGTTGTATCTTTGGGGAAGTTACGCCTGAACCGTTAGCACCACACGGGGCGTATTCTTCTTGCGGAAAGAGTTTTACTCACCTCGGCTTTAATCTTTTCCTTTTTTTTTTTTAAGTTTTTAATTTATTTTTCAGTTCAATTGTAATTTTATATTTTTAGATTATTTGTAAGAATTGGAAAATACATATCAGTTTGTAGGATTCTCGTGTATTTTTACACCCAGTTTTTAACAATCGCAAGAAGAATATCTCGACCTACAGAACTGATGGCATCCACCGGAAATGGTTCTAACAATCAGCATCTGATCAATCATGTATCTGCTGTCCATGTCCTTACTGTCGAGAAGCCCGAAAAATTCAATGGGCTTGATTTCAAAAGGTGCCAACAAAAGATGCATTTTTACCAGATCACTTTGGGTTTGGTGAAATACCTGAAGGACGACCCCCCAGTCATTGCTGAAAATGAAACCAATGCTGAACTACGCACTGCGTACGAGGCTTGGGGGCTAGGTGATTACCTTTGTCGTAACTATGTCCTGAACGGACTTAGTAACGAGTTGTATAATGTGTACAGCTCGGTTGGTTCTGCCAAAGAGCTTTGGGCTTCTTTGGAGAAGAAGTACAAGACTGAGGACCCGGGGCGAATTCGTCGTCGGCAAATTTCTTGACTTCAAAATGGTTGACACTAAGACCGTTGTGTCTCAAGTGCAAGAGTTCCAGCTCATCTTGTACGATATCCATGCTGAATGAATGTCTCTGAGCGAGTCATTACAAGTTGCAGCGGTGATTGAAAAGCTGCCGCTGAGTTTAAGAGGAAGGAGATGAGTCTTGAAGACCTGGTTGTTCATCTTCGTATTGAGGAAGACAATCGTAATTCATCGGCAAAGACTACGATGATGGAGGCTCGTGCTAATTTGTGGGAGCAAGGCAACTAGAGCAAAAGGAAGTCCCTTGATAAAGGGAAGCAGTCAGCCAAGATTTGGAAGTTTACCGGTACGTGTTACAATTGTGGAAAGCCAAACCATATGGCGAAAGACTGCAAGAGGCCAAAGAAGGTTGGGCCAAAGAAAGGTAAACCGAGTGCCCTTGTGGTTGAACACGGCCCTGTGCCGGGTGAACTGACCGACTTTGATATATCGGCTGTGGTGTTTGAAGCCAATATGGTGGATAACCCAAGGGAGTGGTACGTCGATACTGGTGCCACTCATCATGTGTGTTCCGATAAGGAGGTATTTTCTGAATACACTCCTGCTAAGGGTCGGAAACTTCACATGGAAAACTCCTTCACGGCTGATGTGGCTGGAGTGGACACTGTGGTGCTGAAGCTGACTCTTGGAAAGGAGTTGAAACTTAAGGATGTTCTGCATGTCCCAGACATCCGCAAGAATTTGGTCTCCGAATCTCTTCTTGTTGAACATGGATTTAAGCTGGTAAAGAAGTTTGTTTTTAGCAAGTTTGGAACATTCCTTAGTCGTGGATATATCGACAAGGGTTTGTTCAAAATGAATGTAATGGCCGTGAGCCGTGTAACCGTTTTCAATGATAATGAAAACCTATTTCTGTTTATACCGTTGAGTGCTCTGATTTATGGCAAATTAGATTGGGATATGTAAATCTAAATGCAATTAAACGGTTAATGAATTTAGAATTAATTCCTAATTCTAAAATTGAATCACATAAGAAATGTGAAATTTGTATTGAAGCAAAAATGGCTAAGTTGCCTTTTCACTTGGTGGAAAGGTCTACTGAACCATTAGGCTTGATCCATACTGATGTATGTGATATGAAAACTCTGCAAACAAGAACGGGTAAAAAGTATTTTATTACATTTATCGATGATTGCACAAGGTTTTGCTACTTATATTTGTTAAGAAGCAAAGACGAGGCTGTGGAAGCGTTTAAAATCTATAAGACCGAAGTTGAAGTTCAACTCGGCAAAAGGATTAAAATAATCCTAAGTGATAGGGGTGGGGAGTATGTAGCTCCTTTTGAACAAATATGTTCTGAATATGGCATAATTCATCAAGCGACGACCCCTTATTCTCCATGCTCAAACGGTATTGCTGAACTCAAGAACCATACTTTAAACGAAATGATGAATGCCATGTTGATAAATTCAGAATTACCCCAAAACAAGCTGTTTTAACAGCAAATTATATCCTGAATAAAATACCACCTAAAGGGAAAGATGAGACTCATTACGAAATGTGGAAAAATCGTAAGCCGTCTTATAAGTACCTGAAAGTGTGGGGGTGTTTGGCTAAGGTTTCAGTTTATGAACCCAAACAAATGAGAATCGGGCCAAAGACGGTCGATTGTGTATTTATTGGATATGTGTACAATAGTACAACATATAGATTTCTGGTTCTGTAAATCAGAAAATCCAAAGGTATCTGTTGGTATCACGATTGAGTCGAGGAATGCTATATTCTTTGAGAATATTTTTCCTCTGAAGGAAAGAGCAGAATCTAGTTCTAATAAACAAACATATGAAACTGCTAGTGGTTCTGTACCAGAGGGTACTGATGAAGAACCGAGACGTAGTAAAAGGTTAAAAACGGCGAAAACATTTGGACCTGATTTTATTACGTACATGTTGGACGATGAACCGAGCTCCCTTAAGGAAGCTCTGTCCAACCCAGATGGACCACTCTGGGAAGAAACTGTAAATAGCGAAATCGAGTCCATTATGCAAAATCATACTTGGGAGTTGGTTGATCTCCCTGATGGTTGTAAACCTTTAGGATGCAAGTGGATCCTAAAGAAGAAATATAAAGCTGATGAATCGATTGATAAGTTTAAAGCACGTTTGGTGGTCAAAGGCTTTAAACAAAAGGAAGGGTATGATTTCTATGATATCTATTCACCATTTACGCGTTTAGTGTCGATAAGAGTGCTTCTCTCGATTGCTGCTTTGCACAATCTTGAGATTCACCAAATGGATGTCAAAACAGCAATTTTGAATGGTGAATTGGAAGAAGAAATATACATGGAACAACCTGAAGGGTTTGTAGCACCTGGACAAGAGAGAAATGTGTGTAGATTGATCAAATCCTTGTACGGACTGAAACAAGCTCCGAAACGATGGCATTTGAAATTTGATGACGTGATGTTGTCAAATGATTTCAAAATCAACGAATGTGACAAATGTGTTTATGTCAAGGGTATATCAAATACATTTGTGATTGTATGTCTATATGTAGACGATGTGTTGATCATGGGGAGTAGTCAAGAAGTGATCATGGATACGAAAAGAATGTTGAAGAGAAATTTCGACATGAAAAATATGGGTTTGGCTGATGTTATTCTTGGAATAAGGATTATCAGAACCCAACATGGAATTGTCTTGTCACAATCTCATTATGTAGAGAAAGTGCTCAAGAAATTTGATACCTATGACGGTAAACAATCTAGGTGTAAGACGCCCCTTGATCTTAGTATAGATCTGGTAGCCAATAAAGGCCAATCGGTCAGTTGGAATATTCACAAATAATAGGGAGTCTGATGTACTTGACGAATTGTACACGATCAGACTTGCCTATCCGGTGAATAAGTTGAGCAAATTTACGAGCAATCCCAGTCATGAACACTGGAATACTTTGAGAAGGGTACTTAAGTACTTGAGGTACACCCTTGAATACGGGCTAAAATACTCGAGATACCCAGCTGTACTTGAAGGGTACTGTGATGCAAGCTGGATATCAGATTGGAGAGATTCTCGCTAAACTAGCAGATATGTTTTCTGTATTGGAGGAGGTGCAGTTTCGTGGAAATCTACAAAACAAACATGTATAGCTCGGTCAACGATGGAATCGGAGTTCATCGCTTTAGATAAAGATGGTGAAGAAGCCGAGTGGCTTAGAAATTTTTTATCCGATATTCCATGTTGGGATAAGAATTTGTCGCATGTGATAACTCACTGTGATATCCAAGCTGCTATAGGTAGCGCACAAAGCAATTTGTATAATGGTAAGTCTAGACATATTCGTCGTAGACATAATACCGTATGCTAATTGATCACAAATGGTGTTACTTCCATTGACTATGTGAAGTCT